TCTATTATTATTTTACAGTAATTAAAATATTGGTGAAAATGTGCTTGTCATGAAAATAATGTCACAATGCAAAAATATATATATTTTTATTTTTATTATTTAGTTTTTATTGTTTCTTTTTTTGTTTTACGGTAATTGTAAAATAATGTCACAATGCAAACAAAAAATAAATAAATAATAATAATAATAATGGCCCTAAAAAAATAGGCTCAATTATTTAAAAAAAAAAAAAAAAAAAAAAAACTTTTTCTTTTTTTTATACCAAGTTATTACAGTTTTTGTTGCAGCATTGTAACCAGTAATTGATATATTAACTGATTACTCGGCCAGTATTTGGCTCTTTTGAGATTATTCACATCAGGCCACATGGCCAATTAATGGTCAAAATAAAGCCTAATATTACATTTATAGTACATTATGATTATTTCCACAATATTATTTTAACAACTAAGAATCTTGCCCAAAATTATCATTGTCATATTATGTGTATGTATGTATAATATATATATATATACACGTGTGTGTGTGTGTGTGTGTGTGTAATTATTTTGCAGTAATAAGAATATAGGAGAAATTGTGCTTCATTGTCATAAAAAATAATGACACACTGCTAGCCAAAAATCTTAATGGTCCCAAAAGTAGACCGATTTTTGCTTATGCAAAACGTAATATCTTAATTCTTTTCATTTCGGGGTGAAGTATGACTCGGACATGCTCTTGACAGTTTTTGTGAGGTTCATCCAATCAGTGATATTTTATCTGAAACTGTAGTTGGCAGAGAACGTTTCTGTAAGAGCCTGTAATACGTTACTTTAAGTCTGTTCAAATGAGTAGTCCCTACCCGAAAGAGAAGTTAATGATTCATTCTCAGAGAGTGTGCATGCTTCCCACCGTCAGTCAGAACTGATCCTGGATCATCTCCTGTTTCATGAAGCATACTTGGGTTTTTTCTTCATTCATTATTGTGTAGCCTGAAGGTGTTGCTCCTCTCAGCTGACAGCATTAGCTCTGACACACTCTTCAGGTGCACCTGAAGAACTTCAGACCTCTAGACGATTATATAATGTGCTCCACTGCTCACGCACTCACTTTTGAGACTCTACTCATGCTGAAATGGCTTTGCTTCGTCTCCAAGCTCACCATGTGTCCTGTTTTATGCCCCAGAGCATCATGGTCCGATGGCAGCCGCCTCCCGCTGGTACCCTGAACGGAGAGCTGACGGGGTATAAGTTACGCTACCGGAAAGGACTCAGGAGAGCAGACGCAATGGAGATCTCAACCACACAGCTCTTTCAGCTCATTGAGGGTACGACAAACCCCCATCCCGACAGAGCGCTGTTATTTTAGTCTGATTTGTGTACTAGTACAGTATTTATTCATATTTTTAATTTTAGCAATTTTTTGTCATTTTTTCTTAATATATTTCTATATAGCTATAATATTTTTTTAAAAATTAATTTTAGAACTGCAACTTATTTTTATTTCTGTTAGTTGCCAAGTAAACATTTTAATTTTTTCGTTTAAGTTTTTTTAAATGTATATTTACTAAATGTTTAAATTTATATTTTTATTTTTGTTAGTTGCCAAGGAAACATTTTTAATTTTCGTTTAAGTTTTTTAAATGTATATTTGTCAACTACCCATATATACACATACACACACATATATACGTATAAAACAATTTTAATTGCAACTTAAACTTTTTTTTTCTTTCTGTCAGTTGCTAAGGTAACATTTCCAATTTTATAGTTTAAGTTTTTCAAATTAATTATTTTTATTTAATTTATTTTATTATTATTATTATTTCTTAATAACTTTAATACGTTTTTATTTCAATTATCTTAGAACTGCAATTTAAACTTATTTTTATTTCAGTTAGTTGCCAAGGCAACATTATTTTCATTTAAGTTTTTTGAATTGATTAAAAAAATTTTCATGTAATTTTTATTTTATTTCAACTTTATTTAGTCATTTTAATGCGCTTTTGTCATTTTTATTATTATTTTTTATATTTAAAAATATACTTATTTCAGGTAGTTTAAAATTTAAAATATATTATTTGATCTTAATTTAGCTTTATTTCAATAACAGAAAGCAATCTTTAATAGTTTTGATTTTAGTTAATGATAATAACACTGCTCCAGAAAAAAAAAATTAATTAATGGTGAAAAAATAACACAATAACAGAGTTACAGGAAGGGACTCGAGTCATATCTAGCATATCTTTTGACTTGAACCCGTAAGAAACCACTAAGAAATGGGCAAAAACTTTTACCATTTTCCACAGGAAATCTAAAAAATGTGTTCAGCAATATTCATAAATCTTAAGAAAAGTGTTTAGGTTGCTGAGTCAAGAGAGCTGCTGCTTATACATAGTTTGCATATAATTTAATTTGCCGAATGGTGACAATGTTGCTGGTTTTGTTGTCTTCAAGGTCTGGAGAAAGGAAAGGTGTACACCGTGAGAGTGTCAGCCTCCACCGTGAACGGATCCGGACCGACGACGGAGTGGATCGTTATTTCAATAACAGAAAGCAATCTTTAATAGTTTTGATTTTAGTTAATGATAATAACACTGCTCCAGAAAAAAAAAATTAATTAATGGTGAAAAAATAACACAATAACAGAGTTACAGGAAGGGACTCGAGTCATATCTAGCATATCTTTTGACTTGAACCCGTAAGAAACCACTAAGAAATGGGCAAAAACTTTTACCATTTTCCACAGGAAATCTAAAAAATGTGTTCAGCAATATTCATAAATCTTAAGAAAAGTGTTTAGGTTGCTGAGTCAAGAGAACTGCTGCTTATACATAGTTTGCATATAATTTAATTTGCCGAATGGTGACAATGTTGCTGGTTTTGTTGTCTTCAAGGTCTGGAGAAAGGAAAGGTGTACACCGTGAGAGTGTCAGCCTCCACCGTGAACGGATCCGGACCGACGACGGAGTGGATCGCAGCCGAAACCTTCGAGAACGACCTGGACGGTAAACAAACACGCCACTTTTCATGCTTCACGTTGACTTTCCTCCCCGCAGCGTCCTGCAGGTGTGACTCTCTGTGTGACCGACTGATGTGTTTGTTCGGGATGTGAAGAACTTGAAGGAATGGCGGTATTTCTCACAGAGTTCATCAATGCTGAAAGAGCCGCTGCATAATTCACTCGTCCTTCCGATGGAGGAGTCTGTTAAACGCTCTTCTGAGCTGAGGCGTAGAGGGGAATCCTGGGAAAATAGCATTTGTTTAATGCACTTTGAATTATTTGGATTAATGTGTCTGTTTAAAGACGCAGAATGCCATAAGAAGAGCAGCACAAAAGCAAACTTTACACTAGCGCATCGCTGCTACAGTGAATTCAATTGATTTCAGGCTTGAGAAAACGCTGATGTGATTACTCACGACACTGGGCTCGTGTTAGGTTACTGCCACAGCTGCTGTGTTAGATCAAAAGAACAACTAGCACAGGACATCCACCACTGTTTCCACTATTAGCGTATTTTTAGGGCCATTTTTGTGTTTTGTGAAGAACCTTCGGAGTCATTCATTTTACTCCAAAATGATGAGGAAAATAATAATACATTTTGTACATAAAATAAAGAAATGAGGTCTATTTTAGGGCCATTACGGACATTTCTGGGCCTTTATTTTTAGGGCTATTTTTTGCATTTTGTGAAGAACTTTCTGGGTCTTTCAAATCAAGAGGAAAATAATAAATTATATTTTGCATAAAAAAAATTTAGTTTAATTTTAGAACCATCATGACAATTTTTGGGCCATTTTAGAGCAATGTTTGCATTTTGACCTTTATTTTCATGATAATTAAGCACATATTCCCCACAAATTTATGCTACTGTAATAGGAAAAGTGTTTGTTTATTATTTAAGTAAAGCCCAATTGTTTTTATACATCATGGTATTATTTATTGCATGGCATTAAATGTATTTATTGGTGATTTAAATAAATAAATAGTGAGAATTGCATGTGATAATGAGAATTTAAGGGAAAAATGTGCTGAATTGTCATTAAAATAATGTCACAATATGCATAATCATAATGGTCCTAAAATAGACTTTGTTTTCGTTATATAAATTATAATTTATTATTATTATATACACCTACAGTAGTAATTGCAAGCCATATTTCTGAGTTGAAGGAAGCTGCTGGTTTGTTGCGAGAGGAACATTTATAGCACGTTTTTCTCTTTCGTCCTCATCAAAGAGCAAGTTATGGGAACAAACAGACATGCAGGCATTTCAGCTGATTTAGGCGACTAAGTTGGATTAATAGTGGCAATTGGACGTATGGAGGGACCCAGGCACTGTGTGTGTGTGTGTGTGTGTGTGAGTGAGTGAGTGTGTG